CGTACCTCGCACGCCGGCGGCCCCTCGCTGGAGCCCTGCGGGGCGGCAGCGTCTCGTTGGCGCGTTCGCGCTCCCGCAGGGCCTCTCTTTTGGCCGCCATCACCTCGCGTGCGAAGGAGGCGACGGCGGCCCAACTCTGTTCGCTGCCGACCATCGCACGTATGACGGCCGGCAGCGACCGATCTCGCTCTATAGCGCCAGTGAGCGTGGCGCGTTGCGCGTCCCAGCTCGTGCACACGGCGAGCGTGTGCCCTGCCGTGTCCACGTCGCCGGACGCGCAATGGTGGCACTCGGGACCCGACTCAATCCCCACAACTTCACACAGGTAACGGCTGAAACAGCCGTGCCCTGTGAGAAGCTGCGTCAGGAAGTAAGTCGGTTCCCGGTGCCTCGCCTCCACCCACTGGCGCAGGACGGGGCGGACGGCCTCGATGAGCCGTCTGCTCACCGAGGCGTCCGCCAACCTCTCTTACCATCGCCGGAAGAGATCGTCGCGACCTTCCTTCCTCCAGCGTACGATCTCTTCCGGCAGGGGAATTGTAACCACAGTGTCTGATCATATGGTGGTGGGTATCAAATTATAAGAAAAGTAACAAAAGTTAATGTAACTTTTAAACAAAAAGAGATGGATTTTTTTTGTATTTTTCCCGGTGTGGTTATCGAGCTGGCTATACACCATTTCCGTTTTATCGTTGAATTTTGGGACAACCAACAATTTTTAACAGTGGTAGAGCCCGCTTTAACATCATCCCTCGAATCGGCCCGGCTCGCCCGGTGAAATACCACGACCACACAGAAGACAGGCGTGAAGTGGAAGCAATTCCGCGTTTCGTCTGATGAGTGTGCGTCCCGGAGGCCAAAATTAGTCCTCTTTCCCTTCCCACCCTTTTTCTCATAAGGAAAGGATGGGAAGTGGAAGTGGACTTTCCGGATGAGAGGGATGCATGGAAAGGGAAAATATTTTCTTTCTGTGCATCCTCTTCTCCGTCGATTAAAAGTAGGCAACGCATATGCAATTGCGTATGTCTATGGACAACGGTCACTTCGCTATTTCAGCGATTTCAGGTGGCCGCTCGCTCGTTTGCCACCTGTGATATTAAAAAAAACTGTATATATAGATGTCGTTTTTAAGGATAAAATAGGAATAGAAAGAAACCATTTTATTTATATTGTAAGTCATAAACAATCACCACAAAATTTTCGGTTGTAAGTTCTATGAGAACAACCATAGAAAATAGAAAAACCCATATCTAGTATATTGCCAAATTAATTTTCAAACTAATCTATCTTACATAGGCACACTATAAAGATGACAATGGCATCGACGAAAGACTTGACGTCACGAATAATTTGTGACAAATCGCCACCGACCAGTAATCGACATTTTTTTTTATAAATTTGCACAAATCGTTCTAGGTCGACTAATTGGGTTTTCGTATCACATTACTGAATGTTAAATTTTTAAAATTTTAATTTCTAAAAATTATTAAAATGAGTCAACGTCTCATTTACAACTACTAGTACCCATTTAATACTTGTTAAGCAAAAAAAAGAAGAACGTTCGTTCTCTGTAAGATGCAATGACATACTGCCGTACACGATGAACGAGACTTCTTACTTCGCTTACGACACCGATAGCGCGCAAATATCTAATTGTGCGCGAAAAAAGGCAAATCGCTGAAACTTCTTAAAAAGCAAATATTTTTGATTTGTAAACGCACTTTAATAACTATACTAGTTGTCGCCTGCAACTCCTTTATCGCGGGATTAAAAAAATAGATGGTAGTAGATTCTCAGAACTATTCAATTTTAAATGTATTCAATAGTTCTAATATTATATATTAAATTTCATAAAAATTGTTCGAGCTGTATCGGAGGAGTATGGTAACTTATTTTGTGACCTGGGGATTTTATATCTAAGACATCCTTATATAACCTACGAATATAATGTTAGCCATTTTATATATTCTGTAATTCCTTAACCTAAAACTTTATTTAGTCTATGCTATAAGTCAATAACACTTTTGTTTATTTAAAATAACAACATTAATCATTAGTATTACGATCCGACCGATTATTTAAATATTTGATTCTCAAATATAAAATAGAAGTATTCAACTTATCATGTTATCGTTATCGTTAATTAAAAGTATTGTAATTGCGCGTCCGAATGACGGCCATGTTTTTTTCTGTCTGACGGGTAATCGTAAAGACAATGTAACAGCGGTGTTTTTGAAAATGTTGTTGTTTACAATTCCAAAAGAAATATATGAGTTAAAGAAGACTATGTTTTATTTGAAAAAATATTCTCCGACTGTGACTCCCACAATAATAAGTAGGAAAAAAATCATTTGTCTACTAATGTTAGTACATTCATGCGAAGGCTAAGTCAGTTTATTTTATTTAAGACATAAAATATTTTAATTATTAATGTGAGCACTGTAAGATGTCGTTAGTATACCTAATTACGTAATAACTTAAGGGAGAAGGTCCCTTAACTAGTTAAATAAACGGATATGGTATTACATGGATCTCACAAGTTTTTACGATTAACTGATTTATGTGACTTGCCTTTTTTGACAATTCTTATTTTTAATGCATCTCATTTCTTTTTATAGATTATTCGTAAACATTTACACTGATTGCAAATATAATGTTGTAATTCCTAACTTATTTTAATCTTTACTAATATTATAAACGCGAAACTAACTCTGTCTGTTTCGCTTGAACGCCAATCGATTCTAAAGTCTGAGAAAAAGGACATAGGCTACTTTTGAAAGGGTAAAGGGTTTTTAATTGGCAAAAAAGTGTTGAAAGTGTGCGTCGAAATTTGTATATGGAAGTATATAGTAGTATTTTACAGCCAGAAGCTTGAAACATATCTTTAGGCTGTTAATTTGATATAAATAAATATGTCATTCAAAGCTTGTAAAAGTTTTACGCTCAAGGGTGCAAAATAACAGGAATAGGGCCGAAAGTTTGTTTGGAAACATTTAAGGTTTATGTGTATATTTGTGAGTTTTAATATAATTATAATATTTAATACTTTTAGGTGAAATAATTCGCCCTAGTTGAAAATGCTATTTGAAGGCAATACTTCACGTGGCTATTTTCAAATTAACTAACGGGAAACACTCACTAGACAAATCGAATGCAAACTTTGTTATGTTACAGTATTTTGTTGTGAACGATGTCGATATTTATTTCAAGTTCGAAATAATCGCGAAATTTTTGCTCAAGCAATCTTACTAATATTATAAAAACGAATGTTTAAAGGTATCTCTAGGACGGCTCAAAACATCACAATGAAATTTGGCATACATGTAGAACATAATCTGAAAGAATACATAGGATTTTTTTTGTTAATTTCGTGCGGACGGAGTTGCGGGCGACAGCTAATAATACTACAAAATAAAAAAATAATCTGGAACGTTACCATCATTAAAATCCTTGTGATTGAAAAACATTTTCCCAAATTTATAAGTTGTTCAACTCTTAACATACAGTTCTTTTTTTTTTGTTATGTTCCTAGCATTCTCTGCAAAAAATAGCCTGATAAACTTAACCTTTTGATACCGAAATATAATAACAATATTTGTACAATATAGTCATGTTACAAGGAAGAAGAGAACTTTCTCGAGGGTATTTACGACATTATTTTGTTTTTTTGTGCATATTCTTTTTTGTGCATTTGTTTGAAATCAGGTTTTATTTTTAGTTAGTGTTCAGGAACGTTAGTTAGAAGCTGTGTGCCTGAATGGTTTATCTACTCATGTGGGTTATTTAATTAATGATTTTTACAAAAAACTGAGATTAACTTGTTAATACTAATTATAAATTACTTGTACATTACCATAATTAGTACTTTCCGACATTAATATGTTAGCTTACTTATGTGTAAATGAAATTAGGCTACTTTCAAATTACACGGTTCGATTATTAAATGAACTCTAAAATATATGCGTAAGGAGTTACATGAAGTTGTTGGTCAGTCAATACTTTGATAAACAGATACCGCTAACAAAACAGGCGCAAGAGTTATAAAATATTTTATATGAATTCGATGATTTATTAAGGAGAAGAGCTTATTATATTATATTATTTATATAAATGTCAAATAAAAAAAAATATTTAAGTATTTTTTGTAAGGTACTAACTGGCCACCGAGAAAATCTTCACCTTATCAAGTAAAAGTAAAAATTAACAACGAGAGGTTTAGGCGCGAGGGGAGTCCAAGATGCGAACAATGTAACAACGAAATTGATTGTGCTCTTCTTAATAAGTGTAAATAGTGTTTAAAACGAAAATAAAAACAGATTTTATAAGTGATAGCACTAGTTTACATTTATCCATCGTCTCAAAAGCCATATTTATAAGCGAAGGCCAAATTATAAAGCTAACGATGGAGTGAAAACTATTTTATTATCTAACCATAAAAAATTAGGTTGAGGATAAAACTATCGATTATTTTTATGTTCATTTTGTAGCGTTTTTTTGTCATAGCAAAATATAATTAAACGGTTATATAAATACTGCCCTAAAGCTTAAGCATAAGCTAATTTCCATTATCTCTGTGATGTTGTCGACATTCTTTAGACGATCCAGCCTGTACGAGCAGAGTTTTATAGATCTAAAATTTGTGAATAGTTTTAGAAACCAACATTTCTCGTTATTAGTAGTTTCAGTATCGGAACCATAAACATCATTCACAATTTGTGCTTTCTGTCTGGCATTTTGACCTTCAAAAAAATTATCGCAAAATTAAGCGAACTTTCTTCGATGACGTCCATTATTAACAACCTGCAATTCAAAATTTAATGTATACCAAACAAGTTACGGCTAAAAGTTATTATAGTGTGAACAGTAACATTACAACAGGATAAATCTAAAATTGTATGATGTATACGTACTTTATGATAACAGTACAGCCACCTACCTAAAATCATGAATTTGTTTTCCCTCCAATCTATTATAATTCAAATGTGTGTTTTGTTTTGCAGGGGAGAAGAGAGCGCAGGCAATGCGTGTGCCATGGCCGCGTCAGCGGCGGCGCCGGCAACGTGGCGCGGCACCAACGATAGCGCTTCCGAGTTCTGTCGCCGCGGCACCACGCCTACAACCTATGGCCGCTACCAGCGGAGTAACAACGCCGCGCCCGCATACGCCACACCACCCTCCAACGTCGAAAGGTAACCTGACGAGATATACTCATTCAGCCTACTAAATACTGATATGTCCTTCGAAACTCAGTCTTTTAAATTTGTGACCTGGTTGGGCCAACTGCTTCCTTGTTTATGAAATGATCTACTTTTACAAATTGTATAATGTTTCATACTGCTTAAGTAATTGTTATCAATTACTAAATTAGGTGACAGATAAATATATTTTAAACCATTAAGCGACAAGACGAGAAGTTACGACTCTAAGTGTGAATCACCTTTTTTTGGGTATGATGGACATGCCCAACCCTGTTGATAGTCATGACATTTTAGGCACACGAGGCGTCGCCTTGATCATGTCGTAACAGTATAGTTAAAGCAACGCGTATCAGATCTGCAGTTTTCATATACGAATCGTTTTGTGAGGTGAAGCCATTCCACGCCAAGCGTTCAGTCAAAAAAGTCGATGTTTCTGATTTAAGCAATAATTGAGTATGTTCTACCTATACATGTATTAAATATTTTTTTAATATAGTTATTAAAGAATTAAGGGACTTTGAAATTTTGACAAATATCCATATAATATGAACATGCGGTACTTCAACGTCGGTTATAAGTCATCACATTATAGATTTGAATAATTTACCCATGGTATTTATTACTTTATATTAAATAAAATAAATAATGCTTTTTAATTTCATTTTAAAATACGATTTTTCCCCAAATTTCAAACTTTTAAATTTTATTTTTGATTGATTGATTTTTTCAAACATAGTCCTCTTCGATTTTTTGAACTTTTGTCACAAAGATGTTGCAAAGTTGCAAAGTTTTGTTATGTGTGTGGATCTGGATTAGTTTTGTTATGGGTGTGAATGTAGATTACGAGCTAGACTGGAAATACTGCGCAGCCGCGGCGTCCTGCACTGCACTTCGCTTAAGGCCCGTCACGGCTAGGCCCTCTGTGCGTCAAGATGGTCGTGAGAAAAGACGCTGCAAATTTTAAAATGGCTGAGCAAATCTACAATTGACATGTTGTCGCTACGCCAGTACCGACTAATAGATGAGCCTTTTCGGTGATTCAACGTTGTGTGTACGAATCGCGCGCAACGCGGTTCTCGCGACGCAACCATATAAAATAATACTAAATTCGACGATTTACGTAGCCTTGTGTACTAAAGGCCTAATATAGCAAGGTCATAAAGTCAAATTCAAAACTTTAACTAAATTTCTTAAATACATTTACTAAAATTACAAACATGTCGATATGCGCCATTTGGTTTTTAACATAGCGTTCCATATTCTATTGCCTATTGTCAAGTCTTTTCATTTGCTACCCATGTTGTGTGGTGGTTATGCAAAAATATGTTATCCGCCATTTTATGAGGCGATCATTTTAGATTCTCCATACAGTATAGTGTAGTGTAACAAACTCTCCTCGTTTAGCCTTTTGATTTGAAACCTATTTTGTCGGGTAATGCAAAAATATGTTATTTGCCATTTTGAATTTCTCGTAGTGAAAAAAAATCTAAACCATTTAACCATAATATACTTAATAATAAAAACAGAATTAAATAAAATGTAACTAAAATCGAAAATCAAATAAAAAAACATTTAAAATATCTAATACTGACCACTGCAATACTGATCGTATGGGGTTCCTCGCTTAGCTTTGCTCCCAGGATTATCTGCACGTCAGTTGCTGTGATGGATAACCAAATATTTACGAGTTCACATATTGAATATAAATTACTATCTTTAGCCTACCACTGCATCCGTGTGGAATGAAAAAAAAAAACGTTTTTTTATATTACCTGGCAAACAAGCAAGCGGCCACCTAAAATCCCGCGATTACAGATCATCATCAGCTTACTATACGTCCCCACCGAGGGGCTCAGAGCCTACCCTAAGTTAAGGGTGATTAGGCCATACTCAACAGATTACAGATGCGGCACTTTAATCGACGAACCATTCATTAGTAGCCTACGTGTTCTTTTAGACTATGTTCTATATATGTATATGCCAAATAAGAGCGAGATCCGCTTAGCCATTCTGGAGATAGGTAATAGCAAACTTCCATCAAACATCTAAACTTTCGCATTTGTAATTAGTCAGTCAAATAAATAAAAATAAATTTCATTTGTAAACATGCGACACATGGAACACAGTGATAAAATCAATTCAAAACATTACCTGAAAACTTTAAAATGAAGTTCTTAAAGCAGAAATTAACTTAAAAATATTTTTTTAACATTACCTGTTTATTGTAGCAGATTTAAACCTTTGTGCCTTAAAAATAACTTTGATACAATATATGGTGTTATAGGTTAATTTGGTTTTCTGTATGTACCTTTACTTTTAGAATGAATTTAAGGTTAACATAGTTGTCGGTTATCAGAACTACTCCACATCATCGTTGGTACGCGAGTGGGGATCGGCCCACGAGCGGTGGCGCAGCGGGCGCGGGTGGTGCAGTCGGAGGCGCGGGCGGCGGCGAGAGCACACCGAGTACGCCGGGCGGCGCCACGGAGGGAGGCCGACGGCGGCGGCGCTCCGGTTCGGGCTCGTCACGTTCCGACACCAGTTCGCCGGAGCCCAGCGATACTTCGCGCGCCTCCACGCCCGCCGCGCCGCCGCTCGACCGTCACCCGGCCGCGAGGCGCACGCCGCCCACCACCCATCTGCACCAGGTACAGACATGCTCGCATTGATTTTAAACACGGATCCTGTGTTACGCCCTTTAAACGATATAAGAGGAAGAAGTGCTCATGCGCATTCACGCTCTCTAATATTGTACAATGAAATCTTTAACGTAGAATCTACATCAATATGTATATTTACGACTGAAGAAGTTAATTTTTAAAAATTAAAAAATAAAATGGTAATGACTACAGGAAAGTCAGCTCCGTTCAAATATTTAAAGGAATTAATCTTCGATATAAAAAAAATACTATTAAACAAAAATAGGCTAAATGAGCAATCAAGCAATGATTTTTTTTTATTTTACAGTGGGAAAAACAACAAAAGGGTTAAAAAAAAGTAGAAACTCGAATTTTTGTAATGTTCTTTTAAATACTTTACAACAATATGACAATATTGTTATACTACTTACTTAATAGACCATAGTACTACTTCTAAAATGATTGACTGTCTCGTCTTTCGCTTTGTGGTATAAAATACGATTACACCATTTAATCATTCCCTCATTTTCATTTTATATAAAGTTCTATCCTACATCAGCGGATTCCTTGTCCGCATATATGGATATTCTACTTTCATGTCGCTCTTGTATTTCAATCCCCCATGTAATGCAACAGTTTTATCTACCACACATTTTGTGACCTGCTTGACATCTTTAAGTCATCTTCCAGTTCAACAGTGGTAGACACCAGCAACAACTGTTGCAAGTGAGCCGGCTCGCCCGGTGCAATACCACGACCACTTAGAAGACAGGCGTGAAGTGGAAGTAATTCCGTGTTTCATCTGATGAGTGCGTTCCGGATGCCTATTTTAGTCCTCTTTCCCTTTTCACCCATTTTCTTATAACAAAAGGATGACAAGGGATGGTGGATTTGACGTACAAAGCGACGCATAAGAATTTTTATAATAAAAGGGATATATTATCTTTCTGTGCTTCCCCTTCTCGGCCGATTAAAGGTAGGCAACGCATTTGCAACGGCGGATGTCTATGGGTAGCGGTCGCTGCGCTATTTCGGCGAATTCATGTGACCGCTTGCTCGTTTGCCACCTTACAATGAAAAAAATATATTTATTTTATCATTCCAAATTTCGAAATAAAAATTTATAAAATTTAATATTGTATTTTCAAGAAGAAATTGTAAAATATATTAGGTGTTCTGAACAATGTTTGATGGATAAACAGTGGGCGTCGACAGCGAACGGACGTCCGCTTGCGATCTGCGTGCGTAACCTGCCGTCGCGCTCCACCGACAGTTCGCTCAAAGACGGCCTCTACCACGAGTACAAGAAGCACGGCAAGGTGGTCTGGGTGAAGGTTATTAATTATGATTACTATTTTTAACAATATCATGGATAAACAAAACATGGATCCCGTGATGTTTGTGTTTAATTTTGAAAGAAGTTAAAATATAGAGGCTCATTCACCACTGGTATCCGCAGCAAACAAATGAGGTGCAGATGTTTTGCCTTGGCCACATCTTTTCATCTTCTCGTTTCTATCATGTGTTAAAAAATGGACAGAAAAGAAAAAGTATCTTAGTTGGGCACCAGGCACCACAATTGTCAGCCGAAACGCAGTAATATTTCTTCTATGCACCTGTCTTCAGCATCATTTAGATTCGGTACTACAGATTTTATCTGAGAGAGATTTGTTCGTAAGGACTGTAATGTTATTATTTTATGTAGGTGGTCGGTCAAAATGCAGACCGGTATGCAGTGGTGCGATTTAAGAAGCCGTCCGACGTGGACAAGGCGCTCGAGGTGTCGCAGGACAAATTATTTTTTGGGTGCAAGATATCCGTGGCGCCACACCAGGACTGCGACGAGGACGCCGAATCTGCCAAACCTTACGAGACTGATATTGATGAATACCATCCTAAGGTACCTTGTATTATAAATATTCCGTTATTAAAAGATAACATATTAGTAAAACCTTTATATATACAAAACGTAATAGAAATGATAGCGACATTTGTAACCTATGTTGTTTACAGGCCACAAGGACTTTGTTTATTGGCAACTTGGAAAAAGATGTAACACAACAACAGTTAAGAGATAAATTCAAGCACTACGGGCGGATCATTGAAATCGACATAAAGAAAGGAAGCGGCGGGGGCGCGGGCTATGCTTTTTGTCAATACCAGTCGATATCCAGCGTGGTGGAGGCGATACGCGCCATGGACGGCGAGTACGTTGGCGGGTCGCGCGTAAAGCTCGGTTTCGGGAAGCCCGTCGCCACCACTTGCGTCTGGGTCGACGGACTCACGGAGCACACTGAAAAACAGGTACCAGCATTAGTATTTAATATATATATTATTTCATTATGTATAACTATTTATGTTAAAAACGTAAATTTATGCTCAAGGTGGGACGGTTTGTTTGGGTGTGTTATGGTGTTGTAAGAGTTGTTGTATAAATGCAATGCAGAGTGCAGAGTGCAGAGTGCCGAGTGTAAGGTATGTGTATGTTGTGTTGCGGGTCAGGTGCTGAGCGCGGTGTCGCGGTGCGGCGCGGCGACGTCGGTGTGCGTGGACCGCGCGGCGGGCGCGGCGCTGGTGCACTTCGAGCAGGCGGCGGCGGCGGGCGCGGCGGTGCGCGAGCTGCGCCGCGTGGCCGCGCTCGCCTCCGCCGCCGAGCCCGACCACCCGCGCCTCGCCGTCGACTACGCTTCGCGCGAGTGCCAGGTACGCCCCCATACCGCAACACCACATCACATCTTCACCATATTTCCTAGCCAAATGATAGCCATATACATGACTTTACAACATAAAATGATTGTCAAGAAAGTGCCAAAATCAAGTAGAGCTTCAAAACAAATAGCCATTTACAAGTATATGGTCTAGGATAGTGCTTGTCGACTTGTTGTTTTATTCCACAATATTACAAGGTGTTATGTGAATATTAAGCTCCCACCTTTTGACACTTAGGAGGCTTTCTATGAACAACTGGAGAAACATGGTGGTTCGGCGACCATGCCTGGGTCCGAAAGATTGGCGGGTGATCTCAGTACGCGCTACTTGCCCTCTACTAGGCATGAACAACTCAGGTTAGTTATACATCTTTTTTTTTCTGTACAAGAAGGAGGCTAACAAAAACGGGTGGTCAGTCGGGTCGCCTGATGTCAAGCTACCGCTTCTTATAAGCATATTATTATTAAATTACAAAGCACAGGATAAACAGAAAAACAAGATTTTTTCCTTATCTATGTAATCCTAATGAAATCTACTTATACCATCTTATTATATACCTAATAGAAAAGAGCGAAAATGATCACTAAAATAAGTTTTCGGCCCCCCAGCAGATGATGCGTAAAAACTTGTAGCCCTCGTTTATAAGGTTGCAGTATTCCTTCGACCCGATTCTATCGACCCGTTTGACAAAAGATGTTATTGGTACAAAATGTTCTTTCAAACAGGTATGATGGGGCCAGAACGCGGACTCCAAGTTTTAGTCGAGCGTCTTCACGGACTCCTCGCTATCCTACACATGAACATTATGATCCTGCTGAGTATGCGGCCGATAGGCGGTACAGGTAAATTTTATTAATTACATCTGCAATGAATTTGGTAAGTTAAAGCCCAAACATTACGGTTTTTCATGTATTTATCTCTGGGTTTTGAGTCCTATTGGGTCCTCTATTTTACATATGATAAAAGAAGGTATGTAGCCCCAGTAAGACTTATGGTTTTTTTTATTAATTTGCAGGGTATATGAAGAACTAGGGTCGAGTCCGCAGACTGATGAAACGCCATACGAGGATCGCTTGCAGTCAGTTGTGGTTTCACCTCATCGGACACACAGGCATAGGCGAGATTCGAGCCCTGAAGATAGAAAACATTCAAAGGTAAATTTTGTAAAGTTAAAGAGATTATCTTTATATTCTGTGACGAAACCGTAAAAGTCAAAAATAGAAGTAATGAGTCTAAAAAGTTATAGTACGGTGTCGTCCTAGTATATGTACAGACTTTAAGCTAAATAAATCATAAAATGAGCAAATTGAAAAAATGGAAATAATCAGATCATATTTGTTAAAAAAAAGTCCCTCCCCATGATGCGATAAACGACCATTCGAATTCATGGAACCTAATACATTTAATAACAAGTCATTTTAAGATAAAAAAGGGTTAACATGAAATTGTCTGTATTGATTGTTGTGAATTTTTCAAAAAGTAATTAGTAAAATATTAATAAAGAGTCAACTTAATGATGTTATTACTAGGAGCGGCATAGAAGTGCCGGTGGAAGCTCTCGGCGGTCGCGATCAGGGTCTCGCGGCGGGTCGGCGCACGGCTCTCGAAGACGTCATCGCCGGAAAAGAGAAGGGTCAGAATCCAAGGGCTCCCGCGCTGGCACACCGCTCCGCGACGAGCCTGGTCCGCAGCCTGGTCCACAGCCTGGTCCGCAGCCTGGTCCGCAGCCTGGTCCGCAGCCTAGTCCGCAGCCTTCCGAGCCGCGCCGGCCTCGAGAACGTCCACCGCTGCCAATGAGCTTGCCGTTACCCAAATTTGCCGCTCAGCTTCTTCGTACGGTGCCTCCCGCCCCGCGCCCTCCTCAAGCATCCGCACCGGACTCACCGCCGCGACCGCCTTCCGCCTCCTCCTCCAGTACCGGTTCAGCACCACACTCACCCTCGCTGGAGGAACGTATTCGCAGTCTTGACGAGAAGTACGAAAAGTGGAGCGGGTCACGAGCTCTTGCAGATGCACCCGATCGCGCTCGTCTTCGCCATAGACTACTCGAGGTCGATATAAATGAAGTCAAACCATCGGAGGTTGTGCGATCATTGCTTGCTAAGCGATCGGTGTTCGATGAAGACTCGGAGCGGTTAGAAGGGGCAACGCGACCTCCGAGCCCGAGCGGGAGTCCTCATGCGCGACCATCTCCGTGTGTTTCTCGTGCCCTTCGATATCCTTTTCCGACCCATCCTCCGCATTTGCCACTAGTACCACCGGTGACATCATCTGGCTCGACATCTTGTTCCGTCCCTTTAGCGATGTCTACTAACGTACCGCCATTGCCACCGTATCCGCCGCCACTCGAATGCGAAATAGAGCCTTCGGACAAGCCTTCAGACAAGTCTTCGGACAAGCCTTCAGATAAGTCTTCAGACAGGCCTGCGGACCCCCGCCTGAATAGACCAGAAAAACCCTTCAGATTAGAAAGACTAGGAAAGTTTAATGAGAGTGATTATAGAGCCGATACACGAGTCCGCTTAAGAACACCTTCTGTTGATAAACAGCAGAACGAATTACTCGAGCACAAGACCTCACCTGGATCTGACAAAGATCGAACGGAGCCGGATAAAGAATGTAAGCGCGAAGACGAGTGCCGAAAGCGAGATTTATGTCTCATTGGACGAGAACAGGAAACAAAGCCGTTTACTAAAGATGTGTTCAAAGACTGTTTTGATAAGATTGACTCCGTTGTTCAAAATAGAGAAAGTATTCCAAACCAAGATATGGTCGAAAATATAAAAAAGATTGAGGTACAATATTCACTCAGTTCTATTAAAACCGAAAAAATCTCCAATCACATTAAACTTTCTTCTGAAAATGATAGTATGGTTAATTGCAACCATATTGAATCGGAAGAAAAACGAGTTAATGAAGATTTCTTAATATTAGACGACTCATTTTCTATCAAACAAAACTCCGAAGAAGACTTCTTTTTTAAACGTGGACATCATATAAAATTAGAAACACCTAAAGATAATGCAAAAGGAAAAAATAATTGCGAAAAGTTAGAAACACCTAAAGATAATACAAAAGGAAAATTTAACTGTGAAAATAAATTAGACAATTGTTCTCAGATTTTAAACAATGTCGATGTGAAAAATCATATAGAAAAAGAACCTCAATTATCAAATCATATGAATACAGTAAATTATGTAGATGCCAATAGAATTAATGATATACAATTGGACATTAAATGTAATGAAAAAGACGGAGAAAAATCAATTTCAAATTTGTTTGATGTTTTTAGTGATCAAAAATTGGATAAAGGTAATGAAGAATTGAATCATTCTGAACCAAGATTTGATGTTATATTAAATACGATGGATAAAAAGCTTGGCGAGTCAAAAACTCTTCAAGATACTAATCGAAGCGATCATGAAAAGTCAAAAAATTGCAAAGATCGCGCCGAAAAGGACAAGCATGATTTAGACAAAGAAAAGATGAAGAAAAGCAATAAAGCAGAAAAGCATGATCTAGATAGAAAAATAAGGGAAGAATCGAGCAACCACAAAACACATTCTGAAAGGTTGGATAAAACTAAAGCGGAAAAAGATACGGGGGAGAAATATGAAAAAGATAGTGAAAGAGCTAAGCATAGTGAGGATAAATTACATCACGAAAACCATACCAACCATAAAAAAGACAAGGGAGATAGGGAAAGGAAAAAGGAAACCGTCGAAAGTGAGGTCAATAAATCAAAAAGAGAAGACAAATATAAATCAGAACGACTGAAAAAAGACAATTTGGACACCAAACGAGATCATGCTAAAAAGGAACATGATTCAAAAAGTAGCAAATCTAGGGATGATAGTTCTAGGGACCTATGTCGTAAAGATTCTACTGATTCGTCCACATCGAGGGCGTCTCATGACTCCTCGAAAACAAAAGATTTAGATAACAACGAGTCAAAAGAAGAATTGAAGGTGAAAACTAAACCATGCAGCGATCATTTAACAAAATACAATTATGAAAAAGACTCAATGCAAAAATCCAATGATTGCAAAGTTGATAGTAAACATAAAGTGGTGAAGTATGATGTAAAAGAGAATAAACTTTGTTCTGATGGTCATTTTAAAAACAAAATTGAAAATATGGATCACAATACTAAAAACAAAACTGATCCAAGTGAAAAACAAAGACACTACTCTCTTGACTCCCCCGGTGTCGATTGTAAACGCAAAGAACGTTTAAATTCTTGTTCAAGTTTACCTCCAAACATAGGTAATAAAAGACGATTGTCTTCGCAGGACAGCTTTGATTGTCTGGAAGATGTTAAAAAGTGTAAAAGTGACACGAAGTGTCTCGAAAGAAGAGACTCTAAAGATCGCGGTGCTGATAGACATAAAACGACAAAATTCAATAGAGGACATTTTGCAAAACTTATAGAAAGCAAAACCAAAGATGATAAGAAAAATCTTGTGAAGCCACCCGATGAAGGTTTTGTAGATATTAAAGATAACGAAATTAAGGAAACATCATTATTAGATAAAATCAAACATTTAAAGAAAAGTCCTAAAGCCCACGATTATGACAAAGCCAACGATAATTCGGTTATACATTCTGACGCTTTGCAAAACGATTTAGATTTTTTAGCTACTTTAGAATTGCGATCAAGTGAAGAAGACGAAAAACAAAAAGCTCTTAGAAAAGAAATGAAAGAAAAGAAACGTATACAACAACTACAACAAATACAGGAATTGCAAATGCAACAGGATGCCATGCAGCAAGCAGAATTATTAAACAAACTTAAAGAAGAAAAAAAGCATAAAAGTGATGATAAGAAAAAAGAATCAATAAGGGATAAACGCATGTCAACTGATCGCAAGAGCAAAGACGAGAAAAATGAACACAAGCGTAATAAGCATCGCAAACCAATCCACAGTACAGATAGTTCTGATTCTGATGAACCTAAAAAGCATTCTATCTTTGACATTGTTGATGATGGACCTACCTACATATCAATGTACGATAAAGTTAAAGCTCGTTCTTGTAAAAATATGCAAAAGCAAGAAGAAGAAAAACGACAAGAGAAGATTAAAGCTAAATTTTGTCAATTAAAGCAAAGTAGAGCCAAACGGGAAGAAAAGAAAAGATCAAGCTGGGATGAAGACAGTGATTCAGATCATGATAGAAGAAAGTCGTTTAAAAACTCGATGGATAGTTCTTCAGAAGATGAACAAATCGCTCACAAGAAACGCGAAAAGTCTCAAACTTGCTTAGACTACAACCGTGTTAAGTCCGTTGATTATTTCAATGGCCCCACCACTGAAGACGAATGTCGCAATAAGCTTTCTCGAAAAAATTCTCGAACTCGCATTATGTCTGATACTTCGGATGATGACAGTTCTAGAAGAAATTTTACTAGAAGTCCTCAGTATGCTCCTAAAATAAAGAAAGAAGTCCTTTCTGATTCTGAGTCTCTTATCGGTACTAAGGATACTAATAACCCTCTAAAAGAACTAAATGATGACAATATAAAGAAAACATCCCTTATCAACCTTTTCGGAAAATCTGATTCAGATGATCACAAAGTAAAATCCCAAGAGGCCAATGATGTAGATTATAAGGTTCATAATTTAAAAACAATTTCTAACGATCTTTCATCTGAATCTGAGTCAATTAGTTCTAACCGAAATATATCAGAGAATCGAAAGAAGCATAAGAAAAAGCAAAAGAGGCATAAATCGTCATTTTCGGATGAAGAAGCGAAATTGGATAGTAATAATGAATTAGATGGCGACGTTAGGTACAAAAATACAGAAAAGGTAAGGCGCCATACTGCTAAAAAGGAAAAACGGAGAGACAAGATACGCGATAGCGTAGATACTGATGAAGCTCAATTAAGGGATGAAAAACCAAAACACAAAAAGGATAAAAAGTCACCAAATCACTCTTTTGAACTTCAAGAATTGTGTCCAAATGCTAAAAAAGATGGAAAAATGGAAGATATTTTTGGACCTTTATCCGATGAGTCAGATAAAGAAAGTCGCAGTCGCAAATCTTCTGGCAACAAATTAGAATATTTATCGCAAGGTTTAGAATCCATTAATGTCCAATATGACAAATCAAATTCTTTAATAAATACAGAAGAACATAAAGGAACGGATAAAGACGATAACAAACGAAGGAGAGATAAGAGGCGAAAAGATAGAAAATTCTTGAATAAAGATGATGATAATAGTCTAGACGTAGATGCTGTTAGTAAAGCAATTGAAGCTAGGTTATTTGCGGATTCACTAAGCTTTGATGATAACCGAGCAAAAACGGGTTTATACGAAAATCAAGCTTCCCCTGAACAAAGTGATCACAAATTTGATGAAATTACTGCTAAAAGTGATTATTCGAAGTCAAACGAAAGGCATTATGAGAAGTTCAAAAAAGAATTTAAAGATAGAGAAAAAAGGAAAAAGAGAAAGAAGAATAAAGAAGACCGACAGCACCGCCGTGAACATCACCACTTTCATCATCACGATAAAAGCAAGGCGGAAGAAGTTGTCACTGTTGGACAACACGAGCAGATGCCTAAAACGTTGCTTAAAGATATACCATTACCTGCCGAGATACAGAAAGTTGAAACCTCAGATAATTCAGAAGATTCCAAGTTGGCCCTAGAATCTCAGAGTTTGCCTCGATTAACTGATACACCTCCTATGTTAGTACTAGAAGATAGGATCAAACACGAATGTGACTCTAATAAGATTACGATTGTTGAAACAGAGAACGATATCCAGCATATAAAGACTATTGAAATAAAAGAAATTCCGATGCCACCGCCGTACAATAATACAATTGAAAATATTAGTGAAGTTCCCTTGCCTAAAGATCCGCCCAATATTGAACACAAAATAGATAATTATATTCCTGTTATTGAAATTGACGATAACGAAACTGCAGTCCGCAGTATTTCAAATTTAGAAAAAGAAACAGAAAAACCTGTTGAAAAAGTTGATACGCATTGCAAAATTGATAAGAAACTAGAAGAAAAACCCAGAGCTATCATTTCACAAGAAGAAACGGAGGACGCTGTCGCCGCGTTGCTAGGTGAAAGTTTCGGTGGTAAAGAAAATTCTTTTAATATTTGTTACGAAAAGGTTGAAAATAGTAGTGTTCGCGAAATTGAAATTGAAAATACAGCTATAGAAAATGACAATATTCCTGAAGAAGACGCAGAAGAAATGAGACAAGCTGTGCAAAATCTGAACGCCAGCGAAATGGAAATAAAGCCCGATACCCCGGTTTCCGACAACGACTTGTTATTGATTGATACCGACACAGAAGAGGCAGAAGATACTAGCCAAGATGCAATTGAAAGATTACCCGTGAATATAATCGCCACCAATCAATCTCTGAATAACAATACTAAAGTTTGTACTTCTAAATCAGAAGAAGTTTCTAATGCAACACATCAAAACATCACATCAAAACCAAAGATAACTGTTGTTGCCTCTTGCAAGAATTCTGAAACAGATGACACTAAAAATAAAGAATCTATTATCACCTGCTCCTTGCCTAAAAAAGACACAACTATGGATCAGCCTACTTCCACTGCCACACCAGTGATTACCTCGTGGACATTATCTAATAACAAATTAATAGAACCACAGCTATTAAATATATCTTCCAGTCCATCACCGTGTAGAGATACAAATGACAAGAAACCAACGAATATACCTGCCAACATTGTTTCAATTAAGACGTCAACTAATCAAGTTAATAACTCATCGAAACCAGTCCTCAATGCAACACGGGTTAGTGCTCCATATCAAGTTATTAATCACATTCGTCCGCAGATAGCGAATATGCAACCTCCTACAATCAAGATACCAGAGTCTCATATTCTTTATCAAAAACAACAAGGCATTGTAATTTCACCTAGAACAAGCTGTGATCCTCGATTGACAAGTCCAAAAGCTAGCCCTCAAGGAGATAATGTAACATCTCCAAGATTATCTAACATGGCCATTTTGAGCACATCCCCTCAAAATTTAAATACTGTTGGTATAAAATCGCCCAATACTCTGCATCAAAGATCTCCGAATCAAGTTACTGTTGTGCGAATGCAGCAACCTCCTTTAAGCCCAATTCAAACGATGCACATCCCTGTTGGTGCACGGACAATGGTATCCCCTAGTCGGCCGAATTCTGTTTTAGTTCAAACAGGAGCTCCTATACAATTGAATCGTTTGCCAGTTGCTCCCGTGCTGACCCCTATATCAAAACAAGTCAGTGCAAGCAATTTGTTTCATCAAACTAAAACCAATAACATGAATAGTTCGTCTGTAACGAATCAGCCAGAATGTAGAAAAAGTGATAGCAGAAATGTTCCAGATAATATTGCTGAAAATACAAAAATAATTCTATCACCCACGCGGATTCAGCCAAATGCTACAGTTTTGACACCGAATCGTATTATTTCGATGCAAAATGCGATGCACGCTGGAAGTATAAACCCAACTTTGCAGATACCCAATAAAATAATGATCAATAAAAGTCCAGTGACTGATAAGCAAGAATTTCAAGGTCAAAAATCTGAGCATAGTAACATTAGCTTTAACAACAAACCTATAATACATGTGGCTAATGTTAGCCATCCAGGTGCATCTATCATCCAGAGTGGATCAAAACCAGTCATGTGCACAATTCAGGAAGCAAACTCTATCAGTAGAGGACAGGGTTCGAACGTTATACATACTCTGAATTCTCAAAGGATGTTAACATCTTTAAATAATGTGATACAGTTGGATTCAAATAAAATTCCAGCATCTGTTCTATCTGTTGCTGCTATCAGACCATCGACTGTTCTTACAAAAACTGACAGTAAAAACTGTACAGCTACTACAACGCCTAGTCTTACAAATGTTGTTATGACGCCATTAATATTAACGACGACGACAGGTGCGAAAACACCCATAAGAATCAATCTAAAAAACGATACGGACCACCTGGAACACAGTTTTGGAATATCATTAAAACATAATGTTTCACATGACAAAGAGAATGTTATTACTGAACAAAAAGATTTCGTTTTTTCTAATCAAAGTGGGTTCGACAAAGAACCTCTTAAGAAGTCTGCAACGGCAACAGTAGAAGGTGAAGGCGGCAACAAATGTGAAACAGATTTTGAAGAATTATTAAAAGATAACACAAATGAAATCAAGGTTACAAACGATCCCGAAAAGAAACTTGAAATCAATGTCGGAAAAACAGTTACATTAATCTCGCATTGCAGGGAAAGAAAAAACAGTGAAAACGTTCCTGAGAGAGAAGAGAGTACAAATGTTTCTACGCTAAACGAATGTAATGAAAATAGTGTAGTAAGTAACAACCAAACTGATAAAGCAATTAGGCAAAACGATAACACAGATATATTGAATATGGCTAAAGATTCTTTTAATAAGATAAGCGAAGATTCTGAAACTAAAGAAAATGTAGAAGGAAGGGAAACAACTAGTAGTTTTACGGTAAATAGTGTAATATCTGAACCTGAAAAAGTCACCCAACCAGAAACAAAATCGAATAAAGAAAATACTTTTGTTTACTCTAGTATGCTATTAATTGAAAATGAAAGTGAAAGCCAAACAAAAAGCCTAGACGAAAATGATTATTGGTCAGCTAAGGACATAAATATAGAATCGGTAATTAAAAAAGTTGATTCCTTGTGTAACGACAACATTGAATTAAATGAGAAAAGAAATGATTTTAAAACAAATACAACAGAAGTCATTACGTCAGTTCTAACATATCCCGTTATTTCTAACAATTGTGACAAAGAGTCAACCAAATCGCTGGAAACAGAAAATGAAAACATACTTAATAATCAATTTGAAGATGTTATTGTTGAAAAACCAATTACACCCACCAGTAAAAGAGGGGGTCGGAGTGTTAGAGGCAAGAGAGGCGAACGAAAGCAAGACAGAGTACAGACACGGCAAATTACGAAACCCACTCGAGGAACTGGCTCAGGCAAACGCGGCCGAGGTCGAGCAAAAGTTGATAAAAAAATCAAAAGTTTAGTGAACAGTACTGTGAATAATATTCCCGGAGATGTCTATGACTTTCACGAAGATTCTGGTGATGAAACAGCTACATCACCAAATAAAAATGAAACAAGACCTAGGCTCATTCTCACAATCAAAAGTCCTTTATCTGGCCAATCTAATGTCATCGCTTCATCGACACTCAGCATTACAACTAAAGATCAGGAAGACCGAATTAAGAATAGCGATAAAAGTAACAAAGATGAAAAAGCTGAAAGCTTTGCATCTCCCTCGCCTAACACTAGAAAATCAAGAAGGTTGCAAGAAAAAGATGTTCAGCGTATCAATGTATTCGATGTAATAGATGACGCAATTAAAGGCCTTTTGCAAACCAAAACTAAGGAAAGTCCTAAAAGGCGGCAAACACGGCAAGCACTTCCAAAGGCCGATAAGGCACAAAACGTGGACACAAGAAAATCACCAAGAGGTATTAAAAGAACCAGGGATAGAAGCTTGTCGGATGCATCTATGGACAGTTGTGATGAGAAATTGAAAAAAGAGGAAACTACTAGAGACACTAAAATCCAAAAATTGACAGAGACACCCATTGTTACCAAGCCCGTATCAGAGCCAGCCCAAGTTATAAGATCTGCACCGTCATTGGTTATCACTCAGACGCCGAATCCGATCGCGACATCGACACCGGCACCGGCACCGGCACCGGCACCGGCACCGGCACCGGCACCGGCACCGGCACCGGCACCGGCATCGGCACCGGCACCGGCACCGGCACCGGCAACGGTAACGGCACCGGCAACGACACCGGCAACGACACCGGCAACGACACCGGCACCGACAGTGACACCGGCACCGACCCAGACACCGACATCCATGCCGACACCCACACCTTTTATGAAACCGCCAAAGAAAATGATATCTGAAATCAGTGCCAAGTTAGCGAGCGCCTCGGCGTCTGCCACTACTATAATGGGCGCCACTTCCCCCACTGTAGCCGGCGTACCGGGAGTGCCCGGAGTGGCCGGCGTACCCGGCGTGGCTGGTGTGCCCGGCGTGTCCGGTGTCCCGGAGCGAGGTGCCCAACACCAGGCGGACAGGGCGCCAGTAGAGGCCGACAAGCAGGGAATACCTCTGCGGGAACCCCGAAATCCTGACTACGTATCCGCCACCGGAGAGCCAAATGACGCGAGACTCGTGCGGCGCCTGGTGGACAATGTGCCCGGCAATATGATGCCTGTCGGCGCTACGGAGGCCACCGATGCCAGAGTGCAGTCGCCGGCGCTGCCGCATAGACCGCCCTCTGCGCACCGCTCCTCCGACCGTGCTACCCCCGTTCTTGTCAGGTTAGTTATATATTTTACAAATTTCACAATATACAACTTAATTAATAAAATAGCTTTTGCTCGTGACTCCGTCCGTGTGAAAAAAAAAAAAAACTGAAGTCTATGTACTCTTCCAGTGTGGAGTGTTCACTCTGTGTTCTATGTCTATGTCAAATTTCAGCGATATTCGTTGAGCTGTTCCGGAGATATCTTCAAACAAACATTCATCATCATTTGCATTTATAATATTTAATGTTAGCTGAAGGTGGAACTTAAAGAATGATCGTGGGGTGATGCCATTATAATCGACCGCACGCTCGTTTCGAGACACTGAAGCCAGCGGAAGCTCTGCCCGTTTGACTAGTCAAAATAATAAATCATTTTAACTCTGATAGTTGATCAAGTTAATGCAATATTTCAAAATCATTTCAGTGTTAATTTAATCAATTCTGTTTAATTTGTTATTAAATCAGAAAAGTACTGCAGTCGTGTATAAGAGATTGTTTTTTTTTAATTTTACCTGCTTCTGATCCCTAAGAAATAATATATTTAGTAAGATATCAGGCATGTAGTAAAATTGTAATCGATCAAGTGAAAATTGTTTGCAAAGGGGTGGCGAGTGCGAGGCGGAGGTGCGTTGCATGTCAGCCGCTGGTGGGGGCGTGGGAGGGGGCGCGGGCGCTGGCTCGGTTGCCGGTCCGGGGGTGGGCGTGTGCGCGGTTGCGGGTGCGGGCGGCGTGGCGGGGGGGGGCGGGCCGCGAATACGCGCGTACGCCGGCGCCGCCAGCCTGCCGCGAGGCGCGCACCTGCCGCCGCCACCGCACCACGCGAAGCCGCTCGCCGCCATCGGGCCACAGCACCACCCGCAGCACCAACACCTGCAGCATCAACCACATCACCAGCACCACCAGCACATCCAGCACCATCACACCGGTATGATGGTCTCCAGAATAAGACTCCTGTTGAATACACACTTACATGTTTATTACAATTTCCTTAACCGAAGTCATCTAAAATTGTATGTTAATTTATCTAGGACCAGCGGCTCGGGTCACCATTACGAGCGTGCCGTCTATCAGTCCACAGGGCCAAATGTCTCGTGTAAGTGTTTTAATTATGTTAAATATTCTCATTTTATGTAATTTGTAATTACATGTAAATGAATAAGTCCTTTATAAAATTGTAATTCTGTTCACGCTACCCGGAATAGTCTGCGGATTTAGTAAGAAGTCCTCCACCCGCGCATCAACAGACTTCTCCCGTTACCTCGGTATATCACAAAGTAATTAAATTCCGTATGTTTATGAACGTAAATAATGTTTAATGATAAAAAATAAAAAGGTTTTATTGTTCGACAGGGCGACGGAATGTACCCTCACTTCTCTCATCAACACTATCAGATGTATCAACAACATTTTCGCGCCACGCAACACGAAAGTCGTGTTCCACCTTCACCCTACACGAGGTAAGGCTTAATCAACTAAATTGTAAAAGGGTCTTCTTATCGAATTTAAAGTTTAACCTAGATATATCATACAGGTATACAAGATTTACTTATCGATAAATGCTTTAAATATTATTAAATAAATATAATTTATTTCAAAAGAGCAATCATAATGTAATGTAGTGTGCGCAGGTCGCTGGAGGCGGAGGGCTCGGAGGCACCGACGCCGCCGCTGGAGCTGCGCCGGCCGCCGTCAGCCCGCGTGCCGCGCCCCACGCACTCGCCTGCGCACTCGCCCGCGCCCGCCGACCGCCTGCTCAGTCAGTTACATCTTCTCGCTTCACTTTGCATTTCCATACTCCTATCAATCATGTCACACTATTTTATATTAACCTATACTCATAAAGAGAAAATATTTATTCAATTTTTTGTTCATGAACCCACCGTCCAGCTTACTTGATCGAATCCAGTCGAGTTAAGCTTTCTGTAATATAAAAAAGATAAAGGATATTATTTGAGAGATCGCTTAAACAATTTGCATTAAATGATGAATGTAAAGGTAATATAATGTTATTAGATGTGGTAATAATTTGTTTGTGTCAAGCAGTGTGCGAGCCGGGATGCCGACCGCCGGCCGCGCACGCTTCGCACAACGCGCACCTGCCCGCCGCGCTGCCGCCGCCAGCCGCGCCCGGCCCGCCGCACGCCTCGCAGGTGCCGCACGAGGCTGACTCGCTGCAGATGCTGCTCCGGGTGAGTACTACCTACCCTGCGCCGCAACAACTATTTCTCATTTAATAACAAAACAAATTGAAACCCGCATTTGTTGCAATACCAACGATAAAAATCAATGTGTATAAAGATACAAGGTAAAGATTAGTACTAGCCGTGAGCAAAAAAATTGCCGATCACCACCACCGACCGCGATCCGTGGTTGTCTGCTTAGTACCATTAGTTGACTACTTTACGGCTTAGTTTGATTCATCGTCAACTAAAACAATCAAATAAAGTATATTACTAGCTCTCACCTGCGACTTCGCGGGAAATAAAAAGTAGAAAAAGTAGATAGTATCCAATTCTCAGACCTACTGTATGTGCATATAAAGTTTCATAAAAATCGTTCAGTTATGGAGGAGTATGGTAACTAACATTGTTATATGAGAATTTTATATTTATTACATAATAACTTCGACCTTTACCTTACCTTTTTTCGATATTTTTATTAGTTTTATGTTAAGTAAGTTATATATCCTTTTTTGTCAACCTTACTAGACATTGATGCGTAAAGTCGCAAGGCTAACTGCAAAGCTTCTGCGTACGAGTTATTTTATTATTTTAAAAATGCCAATATATGCAACTAGTATGTTTATATGAAAATACTCTGTTAATAAAAACAGAGTATTTTTATATAAACATAGTAGTTGCATATATTGGCATTTTTATTAATATAATTATAAGTACAATAATGTTGGTCGACAGCGCTATCCAGTGCTGTGGCAGGGGCTGCTAGCGCTGAAGAACGACGCGGCAGCGGTGCAGATGCACTTCGTGGGCGGGAACCCCGTGGTGGCGGGCGACACGCTCACCGAAGGCTGCACCCCGTTGTTGCGCATCGCCCAGCGCATGCGCCTCGAGCCCGCCCAGCTCGACCAGGTGCACCGCAAAATGAAGGTATGCACACATTTATCTATTATCATATTTCTTATTTGTTGAAGGAGGAATTGAGTATAAAAAAATTCGTAGTTGTTGTTATATAGGGTAAGTTATGTTTGAATATGGGACGATTGCAGCTGGAGAGCGAACACTGCATCCTGCTGGCGCTGCCGTGCGGCCGCGATCACATGGATGTGCTGCAGCAGTCCAATAACCTCAGCAGCGGCTTCATCACGTACCTGCAGCGCAAGCAGGCCGCCGGCATCGTCAACGTTGCGCCGCCGGGACACCAGCAGGTCACTAATTTTAAACATTATGCAGTCAAATATTAGTCTATTTACTTTGCACTTAGTACGGTCAACTTTAAAAACAATGTGACAGCTGCTGAGTAATAACCATTTATTATTTATATCCTATGAATAAACAATAAAGACATCAATACAACTCACGCCTAAATCCCAGAGGCGTAAGCGGAGACCACGGTCGTACCACTTGCTCGTCGACTTTAAGGGCTTTGTTATTATTGAGAATTTTACAAATCGAGGCGGTATAATTCTTATAAACCATTGTAGCCAACATAAGTCAATACGTAAATCTAGCTAAAAGTATTCAAGTAGGGATTTCGGTGTATCATTCTAGTCTCATAAATTATTTTTGATGGGTTGCAACTAAACTTATAATTTATGTATACTTTGCGCAGGCCGTGTACACTGTACACATATTCCCATCGTGCGACTTTGCAAATGAAAATCTGAATCGCATCGCACCGGACCTAATGCACCGAGTCGCCGACATCGCCCATCTGCTCATCGTTATTGCCACCGTATGAGGCGAGCGGCCCGGTGCCCGCACCCACACTGCGACCTGCGTCAGCCTGACGCGCGACCCCACTCTACGACTACGACTCGCGACACACGTGACACGCTGCCGTGACACACGTGACACGCTGTCGTGACACACGTGACACGCTGTCGTGACACACGTGACACGCTGTCGTGAAGCACGTGACGCGTCCTCTACGAGTACGGACTGTGACATCGAGCTGTTGCTGAAGTTTAGAAGAGTACTTTAATAAGCATTGTAAATATGGCCAGGTTGTGAAAGTTCGTTTAATTTGTTACGTTAGGCCAGCGACCTGGCGCGCGGCCGCTGTGGAAACGTTTGTCGCCTCGCCCCGCCTCGCCGGGGCCGCTATAGTGACGTAAAGTTAGGATATTTATTGTTATTGCGCAGTGTGACGCGCACTCGCGCCACTTGTAATACTAGAGGTAAGGTGTAGCTTTGTAAAATACTTTTGTTACGGTCGACTGGGTTCGACCCTATTCGGAGTTTAAAATTTTTAAAGGTACAGTAAAAGTCAGTTAATTAAAAATATATTAAATTTTGGGTTCCGATTAGATGAGTGGCGATCTGTCGAGCATTTTTAATCGTTAGTGTAAATTGTTATTTTGTTTTAAGCGTCTAGCTCTAAAGTAATTTAAATTTTTGTAAATATCCATAATTAAAGGTCGATTTATATAATACTTAGAATCGTTACGGTAGGTAATGGTAACGATAACTGGGTCGAATGATAACCGTTAATTGTAAAAAATATAGTTAAGTGGTACGTTAAAATAAGTAAAATACACGTGGAAAATAAACTGTGATTCTGACTTTTTAAAGTAGGCTTGTAGTTAGTTGTATGGAGTGTGAATAAAGAGGTGCGCGGGCAGCGGGCAGCGGGCAGCGGGCGGTGGGCGCGACCGCCTCTACTGTTGCACACAACTAGTTGTCATTCATTATCCTTACACTCAATCAAATAGCATCCCTAATAATACTGTAAATTGTAGTGTTCGTCGTGAACACATTTCATTTTCGAATAACTAATACTGTTTGTAGGACACACACTGTTCTTTTCCATTCCAATCGAAGTGCCGATGGTCTTTGTTTTCGCAAACGCAACATTTGTTTTTGCGTTGGCCTTGTATCATTTAGGATCGTATCGTGCAGAACATTTCCTATCGATCATTACGTCATCGTCCGTTGTTTCGTTTGCCAAACATTTCCACAGTGACAACATTATACCCGCTAATTTTTCATTCTAATTATTGTAAATTTTAATAAACTTCAAGAAATGCAAAAACTAACAATATTGTACTTCTCATAAAGTGTTGACTGTCTACATCTGATGTCTACTAACTAGTAATACAAATGTGCGCAAGTTCGAGCAAGTCCCGGCGCGGTAAAGACGTGCTCGAGGCGGGCGATGTGAGCTTTTCGATACATATCGGCGATCGCTGCGGTGCGGCCTGCGTGCGGCCCGCTTGAAGAACTTCTGCGCTAGTTTTTGTCATCAATTTACAAATTATTTCCTTTTATACAACATAGGTTTCTTTTATCTTAGTCAAGTTACATAACAAGGTTAAATTAATATATTTGAACACCGGGAGCACGCTCACATCGCCCGTCGTGAGCTACCGAAGCTCGTGATGGCGTGTCGCGGTCTGGCGCGGCTTGTTGCCGACGGCATACGTCAGTTCGCCTAGTATAGTTGGTAAATGTACGGTAAATCTGTCGTGCGTGAAACAAAGTACAAAGTATTCATGTATTGTAATTTTATATGTACGGTATAGAAAATAACAACACAAATAATGTTATGTATATTCTTTTTAGGATTTAATCTATAGATATAAAATAATGATATTGTTTGTCATGTTTCCGTCGCAAACGGTTCTCGACTTAGCTAGGAAGAGCACTAACGAACTCGTCACTTCGTCCATTAATTTTAACATAATTTTATTACTAAAACTGATGTGGATACCCGAATGTAAACTCTATTTATTATTATTTGGGTTCCTTATAAAGGATAGCGGTGTAAATAAATCGTCACATAATAGTGTTTCAGTATTTAGACTCTTGTGGTTATTACGGGATATAGACCGCGACTCGTGCGGTACCAAAATGTATAAAATATATTTATTGCGGTCGTCTCGCATCGGTGTGAAATATGGTTTCCTCGTTTTGTCAATTCGAACGCACCTATGTATAGGACAGCCGACTACCGTTTCTGGTTCTGGTCTTATACATATTTGCATTCGTATAATGTTTTACACTGTCTCAAATGTCAATTACTGGTCACATTTACATATTTTCATAAAAGTTTTCATGTCTTATGGCCATAATCATGAATATTATTCAAAACATTAATTATTTTGTTCAAACGGGGTTAGCCGTAAATGCAGATAAGACAAGTTTACTAATTAGCAATATGAGAAGTATAATATAGTTTTGTTTCAAATCGTTCTCGAAACTGAAGATTACAATAATCCACATCACTGTGTCTTGGTTGTTTTAATGAAGAGACGGTAAAGTTATATTTATATTATTAAGATTGGGCAATGTCATCCTCTCAATAACTTGTGTAATTGTACTCGGGAATAAGTTATGGTGGGGATGACGTTAACAGCGGCACGTTTGGGGGAGGCGGCCGATGCCGGTGTGCAAGTTGATAGAGTTTAAATAATTGTAAAATTAACATTTGATCTCAAGTGTGCAGCAAAAGTGAGGTGAGCGCTAGAGTAGTTATACCCACGGAGCATATACAGAGAGAAGCCGGCCTCGGTCACTTGGGTCTGCCAAATACCTCGGTTAATACAAAATAAATCACTGTTTTTTGTCCGTAATTAAATGGCAGTTACTTGAGCAAATCCAATAGATTCTCTGTATGTGCTCCGCGGAAATATCGCATCGGCCGCATCCCCGTGCCGCCGCTTTCATTGAATTTAATTGTAGCAGAGAATAAGAAAATAAAAAATATTGTGATCATATTTCTACTTTAAGTTTAAAAAGCTAGGACCTAGATGTAATTGTATATTTTGTACATATTGAAAATAGTATTGTATCTTTACTCCCTTATCCAAAAAGCCCAGACTCCTGCGTGTTATGTACCTCCTACCTACCAATACTATTAAAAAAACATTACACAAAAGTGTTTTTATTTTTAAATCCGAACTCTCACTTATCATAAATAGATGAAATATTATTTTTATATAAATTTGTACTGATTACATTGTACGATGTATAAATATTCATAAAGTTATAATTGCTATGAATTACTTTTATTATTTCATCAGACAAGAGCGTCTTTTGTCTGTCATTTTATCGGCTATATGATAAGTCAGCATATACACCACATTTAATTGCCAATAACTGTTCAGGAGAAATAAATAAAACATTGTTATCTAAGGACATTACTAATGCCACATTTATTTCATATTTACGTGATATTATAGGTGATCTCAGAAGAAATGAAAAATTAAATAATACGTTCTTCTGTCTTCTATAACTTTCCTTTTATAAACTTTTTTTATTATGATCCTAAGTGAGGTGAAAAATCATAACCATCACTAAACCACTACAAATCATAGAATGAGAAAATTTTAAGGCATAAAGCAGTTAGGAGTTATTTATTAATTACATGATGCTCAAAAGAGGGGAGAGGATCTGGAAAAAAATTAACAAACCATCACCTGGAAAAGGAAGAGGACACACAGGAAGATGTCACCTATATTTATTTTACGATTCACGAAGTAAATTTAATGAATAAAACATATGTACGGTACTAATATATAGATTTGATAGTTTGCATTGAATAGAAAGCTATTGAACCGATTTTTAAATTCTTTCACTGTAGGGGAGTTACGCTAGCCCCAGGTGACATGGGCTATGTTTATACAGGGGGGATGTCTAAATCCTCACTTCATTTCACCAGAAGGAGGGATGACAATAACAGTAAATGGAACAGTAAATATAACTATAATACCGAACGTGTGATCTGATTCTAAATGTCTTCTAAAAAACTTAAAACTGAAACATTTCTACATCAACACTCACATGCTACGAACTAAGTTAACATGTGACTATATCTAAAGATTAGGATTAATTAGTAATAGTAACAACTAATAATACCGCTTTATGTTTTCATTGATAAAAACACGTAGAGCGCCACGTCAGCCATCGCTGGCTGACACTAGACTTTCCGTTTAGGTCGCGTCAGCCATCGGTGTCTGACACTAGATTTTCTGTTTAGGTGGCGTCAACCATCGGTGGCTGACAGCGTGTAACATGAAAACTAAAAAATTAATTTTATCTAAATTATTATTTTTATTTTATCTGAATTATTTTTTTTATTAAAACAACGGTAAGAAAAACAAAACAACGCCTATAGGTATAACGTTAAGAATGGAAACTATTTTGTACTGTGCTCGGAAACACCGGCCCTTTAATACCACTGCGTATAAGCGGCGCTCGTGGCCTGAACGGGATTGTCTTAGAAATACGCGTGGCGGTCAACGTGTTAACATAGTCAAGTAAACTAACAAATTTGTCCTAAGTTGATGGAAACATATTGGAGTATCTATTTGAATGGAAGAACATTTTATTGCTTTTGTTGCTATTGCTTGTTATCCCTAAACACTATGCAACACACAAATCTACATTTTGATGAGTCGTGATATGCTGCTTTATTTCACTATAGGTAAACTGGTGATCCAATAACTTCACCCGTTGAGGTCTAACAGCCTTGTTTCGTCATCAGATCTGCCAGTTTGAATACCCGAAGCCAGCTGAATAATTCAGGACTGTCTGGTTCAGAAGTTGACATTGTCGGCTTACTAAACTTATTCTGCGAGGGTGGACGCTCCGGCGTCGAATGAGTTGGTGATTTGCTTAGGCCTTTTTGTTTTTCAACCGACTTGACACCTGGTGAAGACATCCTAAAATGATAAAAAACAACAAATTATTTTTACATTGTATAGTTAAACATGGATATCTGGCGCGCTGAGACAGGCTATCGTGGTAAGTTCTGTACAAGATTAGCCATAAATACTGAGATATTGGTTAAACTCTCAGTAGTTATGTTATGCATATTTATTACAATAATGAAATGAATAAATCCATTATTAAAAACATCACGAAGCCGTTGTCATTGACGCACATTGCGCTAAGGTTTAATAAATCTGTTCGGTATTATGATATATACGTCCATACGATTTTTTGAATTTGGCGCCTATACAGGTTAGTGTAGGTAAGCCCACGCAATTTTTGTTTTACTCGCACAAGTGGGTAGTTAGAAATCCCTCATCGCTACGCTGGGACGTAAGGTCGGCGGGGAGGGGAGTGATTCGGCACTTGAGCGTCGGCATTGGTAGTCGACGGAAGTTGGATTTGAAGACTCGTACAGGGTCGCTTAAGTTTACCGCATTCAGTTCGACGATGACGCGTCTATAGCGCGCTTGCGGTATGTGTGCGTGCATCGAGTGCGTAAGGAGAGCAGCATTGCTGGCGGCTGATCTCGGTTTGACTGTGACCAGGCACCTGCAGGCGGTGAACGGGGCAACGAGTTGGTAAGTGCCACTTAATATATTTACAATATTACGTCACCCTCTGCAAAACGTAGTCGAAGGTGGGTTAAGTTGCGGGACCCGTATCTCAATCGTCGTACCTTTGTTATCTGATACATACATAAGCACATTTAAGACAATTCCCGTTGATACAATGAATGTTCCAGTTCAGAAACTTTACATTGTGTTTGAATACAGTCAGGCGTCAAGCGACAGTTGTCAGACGGTGAGGGCTCATACTTATGCCGTGCCGGTACGATTGCTTTTAACATACGATAACTTTAATCGGTTTGTCGGTTACTGCATGTCTTGTATTTATATTTGTGTTTTAGTTTAGTAACGAATACTAATATTAGAATAGGTGCTACCGCGGCAAGATTTATTTTTTGAAGAAAAGCAAAAAACAAAGTTAAAAAAAACTAATTAAAAATTATTTTATAGTGATCGTATATTTTTATAAAGTTTTATGTATGGTATACTATACAAAATGAACATAAGGGTTAACAACATTGGTACCTACTCTGGAAGCGACTCTACCGTTATTGAATAAGGCGTTTTGTAATATGTACACATAACAACGTTGCCACAAGTCGTTGACCCAGTGTGGTGGGCGGCAGATCTTCTTTGACCTACTTACGTTTTCGTCACAACTGGACGGCGCGGTGTGGAAAATGGGAATCGAGGTTATAACATACAGTACACCGGAAATATTTGATTCGACGTTATTTAAACACACCGTTTACATTTTTCATGTAATAAACTGGGACATCTATACAATTAATAAAATTGAACTGTCTGTATGTAATATCGAAAAAACATCATATTTAGCGAACATAACGTATTACTCACAACGAACTTGCTCGTAATATTTTTTTAAAAATGTTGGGTGTTGTTAAACGAAAAATACTAGCAATTAGTTAGAAGCTAAAAATTTACTATATTAAAAGAAGAAAATCGATTTTTTTTCCCACGGTAACCTATTTAATGAGGAGTTTTGATGAGAAAATACGTGTTCTGATTTTTTCCCCATGAAAATATTCAGTACTTGATAGAATTCGATTGCAAAATAATATAAAATTATATAAAGTTGTACTATGTGTAAACATTTAGTTTACACTCTGAATTGTTCAAACTTGTCCGATGCTAGCTAGGACTATGATATTAAAGAAATATAAAAAAAAACCTATCGTAACATTTAAAAACAAAAACTTTAAAAACGATACAAGGCTTTCATTAAAACTTACTTGTTTATTGCAGTATAAACTGTACGACAGATATTAATATAACTTTGAATTAATAACTTTAACCTTCTCTTTGTATCACTAAGCACAATAGTATTAGAACCAATTTAACTTGACCTATTTAACTCTAGGAATACGACCGCGCAACGCCACGACTCGATTTGCTCTGCTATCGCTAAGCGCCATAAACTTAAAAATGCTGCATAATATTACTCATTGAATATATTTTTTTGTTTCCTGCTACATGCTAGATATAAAAATAATAATCTATTTATAATAATTAAAGGATAGCACTATAACAAGTTCAAAATTGTAAAAACAATTTTAATTACATAACCTTGTCTAAAGTAGCTCCTTTTAATGATATATTTTAGTTTACATAAGACTCATTTTATTTTTACAAAAAGACCTAATAAGGTTAAAAAAATAAATTATAGTAATATTTCGAATATACATTGCATGTTAAAATACAAAGTAAAGTTATTTTTCCCGGACTTATCGTGCGTTTCTGAGACTAAAATCTGCGCTTAAAACATATTGTTATTGTTAACTCTGTTTTGTCAAATAATTACAGGGATGACGATATGGTTTATAAAGATATATTGATCTCAGAATATCAGAGTTAGACATTTATTTAATGTCTATAATAACGAAAGTCCTAGAAGTGTAATAAATCTGACACCATATCGACCAATGGTTGGACCAAGTTCGCTGACCTCAATCCCTTTGTAACCAGCGAAACCTATTTTCCTTGCTCCACTTTTTATAAATCGACATTACGTAATCGCAATTTAATTGTTACGTTAGTTAATTTAATTAAATCAAATAACATGCGAAACATATGTTATTTGTAGATGTTTTTAATTTTTTTAGATGAATTAATGTAACATAAACAAATAAGGAATTAAATCGTTTAAATACACTATAATCTCGTTTGTAAATTGTGTTGTATAGGTAAACCTACCTTTATATGAATGGGGTTGACTGTAACGTTGCTTCACTGCGTCAAAACAAACTCTTCTGGTAATTCTTTGTGACGAAATGCTTTAAAAGGGGTGAGTGGTGCGCGGGGCGACGGGTGTCCGCGCGTGCCCGCCTTCGGCCGCCCTACTGCGCAACGCGTTCTTCTATTCATCTCTTTACACTCCGTGTCAATTCATAACAGCTTTTACTTTCATCGCACTCTAGATATTTTTAGCTGTTATTCATGGTATGATGAAGGTTAATACTTGGAGATGAATCCCCCTTAGCACTCCTATATAAATTCTGAAAGAGTACATATTTACAAGTCGTTGTGAATTTAAATGCCTTTAAAAGTATATTAAAATAGTATTATTAGATATTAA